GCTTTATCATCTAAATACGATACGAAACGGTAGGATTCGGCGACGAAAACGATACGAAAGCGCCGATACGACAATCGTAAAAATGGTAGGTGATGATGCACCTACCATTTGACACGGTGTTTTATTTTGCACTTTGTACGTATACTTGCCTTCTCATTACCGATAGATGATCCCTAGTTGCCACTATCTTTGGTGGGTAACTGGATGCAAATTGCTCGTATTTTGTATCCCTCCACGTAAAGTCATCCACCATTATCTGTAAGAGTAGGGGGTTGACGCAGGCGAAAATAGGCTGTGTCTTGGAGCGGTTTAACAACAAAAATGAACTTTGCCAGTTTCATTGTGTTAGATTGCCACTGATACCTCAAATTTAGAGAGCATTAGTTTTCAGGTTATGCTTTTCAGTGCACTCAAGCTCATGAAGCCCACAATTAAATGAATTTGCAATCATGCTTTTCTCTCCACAAATCCTTGCTCCTTTTCATTTCAATCACCTAAAGGACGCGTTTCGCGCAAGTTATGAGTGTCGCATGTCAGGCAGCCATGCATTAAGAACGCCGAGGAAGAGTCAATCACATTGCAAGGATTTTCTTTTGAGAGCACATCTCAAGGAACAGACAAACCAGCACACTACCCCCAGGTGCGAATCGTCGCTGATCTAAAATACGTAGCGTCCTTAACAAAATGACAAGGGGTTTCTTTACATCAGAGCGTTTTCAGTGTGCATCCATCGCAGGGTGTGCAGGTCTCGAGCAGGCGCAACAATGGGCTTAACGAAGCCTTGTATCACGTATTATCTGCCCTGTAATGGACTTCCATATCCATCGATCGAGGACACCTCAAGTCCATTAGACACTGTCTGTTCCAACCGATCACCGATTCATAAGGCCATAGACGTTGGGGGTGACCCATTCTTGTCAGTGTCATTGGTGTCTTTTGACCGGAAAAAAACATACTGCAACACTAATAAACGCTTCGCACAGCGTGCAAGCCAAACACAGAGAATGACCTCAATAGATTCTGCCGTGTTCGACCTGGCGCTGAGGCCCTGAACTGCCGCGGCGTCTTCACTGCTTCACGGCTGCTGCTCACTCTTCACGTTTATCGATGCTGCAGCGCGCAACGCTGTTCTGAGGCTGTGGAAGTCGCAGGTGTCTTCACTGACGTCGTAGTAGTCAGGGTGGACGGCGGCTCCGGCGGGACACGACGCAACAACCTCACCCGAATCGTGTTGCACTGAATGGTCCGCTCGGAGATGTTCGTGATGTTGGAGACCCGTCTTTGTTTCGCCAGCCCACATCAGTTAAGTTACGTCTGTAGCGGGAGACGAGAGCTGGTAGTCGGTTGGTGTTCGGGGAAAAGTAATTGGCCTTAGGTCTGGACCTGAAAACGGCCCACGCTATGGCAGTCCACGATATCCCAGAGGCCGCGGCTGCTGCCTGCATACACGTGTGCAGTGTTGTGAAATCATCAAAACTCTCTATGTGGTGGTGCTCTCACTGTGCAACAGTTCCGTCATAAACATGCTGCTTTTTGTCATGTCTCTTCGCACACGGGGAAATAATTGTTTATTTAAATTGATTTTTTAGATCGCAAGTTTTTCTATTTAAGTGACACGTGTTCGTATTATGAAATAACATTGTCGAGGCACCATGACGTTTGCGCGTTTTTAAATTTAAGTACGTGCATCCACGTCTCGATGAGAACACCTTAACACGCGCCCGTGTGGTCGGTCGGGTACCCTTTTCTCGGCTAGGGGTTCAATTTGACGCTCCCCTGAGGTCTCACGAACTAAGAGAGTTAGGGACACCAAATTTACACGATGTATTACCCTGTACGTGAACTCACTTAGGTCAAAGTTTAAGAGGTACCCTGGAACCTAGGTTACTGTTCTGAGCGATGGTCGCATGTTTATTTAAAGTCAGTGACCTTGCTTGTCCCTTTGAAGGTCATGGTGAACAAAATCACACAAGACTGCTTTGAGTTTTGCATTTGAATGATTAACAAAGATTACGCTGGGCAGTATCTTTAAAAAAAAAACAAGATATTGACCCAGGTCAATTTAGGTCAGTGACCTATTGTTTCCTGTAAAAAGTCCATGCATAGGTTCTAATGTGGTTCGTGTTACCAATAAATTCGAAGTGAGCACCAGAAACCATCCTATACAGCAAGCCCTCGCGTAGTGCAGCAGATTGATTTTGACCTCTGTCTGACATTCACACCTGACCGTAGGTCAATGTAACTTACTCATTCAATGTTTGTGCTGCCTAAGAAGGTAGTTTAGACATGTATGGCCTCGGCCAACTCTCCGTTGTTGAATCCGATTGAACGATTCCCCAGAAATTCCCTTCGCTGAAACCATGGTATTATTTGGACTTGCCATAGGTGAGCAAACTTGCATGGTACATCTTAGTTGTCGATGTGAGACTTTTTGCTATTCAACTGTCCACAGCTATGCAGCACTTGGTGTGGCTACGCTGCGCCGTTTAGAAACCATTCTGGAAGAACCTTTGGGAGTGTTAAATTGACCCCCATGCGAGCGCGTGTTAATGTAAATGATGACAAAAACCAGCTAATGCTATTTGGAAGCCGAAACATTTCTGCAGCCCCCTCCCCCAAAACTCCACCACAAACTTTCATGGGCATGAGTCATTCCCCTGCTCAGAGATGACAAATGTAGTGCTAGTATTTGATCCGTCTCTCAGATGAAACTCATATGCATTTTTCATCACTGGCTGTTGCCTAGGAACTCTCTCTGGTCAATAACATCAGAGGAACTACTTGCCCCTCAGTGTCGTCTCCGCGCTGGTGAGCGCCTTGGCCCGCTCTCAGATCCGATACTGCTGTTTGGTTTATAACAATGACACCCAAAACATGCCCTCTAGGATTTAAAAGGCTCTCAACTTTCCAGCAAAACTTATCGTTCGGAGTAAAAAAAAATAATCAAGCTTCGGACCTGCTAAAGAACTTTCGCTGGCTCTCTACGGCCTGCCTTGTGAACTACCAAACATTGACGTTTTTACACAAGGTGCACAAGGTGCTTGAGTGTGTTTTTCATGATCAGCGTGAGAACTGCTTCAGAAGATTTTTAAAACGTCTCGGATCGTATCGCGTACGAAACGATTGGGCATCTCTAAGCAAAATCTTGCTCAGCAGCAGAGCGTAGCAAACAGTCCATTGCAGGAGGGTATGAACGGACCGAAACCCCTGTCTCCGTACGGCCCGTCGTCCATCCGAAACACTGTGAGGCCATTAAAGACACCCTCAACAATCTACAGCTTCAACAAAGCGCTACTCACTGCAGTATCGATTACCAGCTCTTCTGTTTGAATTGTGCGCTGTTCAAGGCACCTATTCGGCTGCAAGACATGAGTGTTTAACGTAATGGGCAATTAACACCGATAGCGTGTCACGCTACTAGGATGAAAGATCGTGGCGGCAGTTGGGAAACAAGCGAAGGATATCAAGGCTAACTGAAAGAAAGCCTGCTAGGGGCATTGTGTACCATAGGCAAAGTCGAAGGGATTGTGTGAAACAACATCTTTGTCTGGGCATTTCGTATACGCCAAATCCTCTGAACACGTTTAAAGATAACTGAAGGGTTTTTCAGCACATTTATCTGCTGTGAAATCGGCAGTTAGTGCTGTGCTGTATCGGATGCCCTACTGTCTCGACTCCTTAAATGGCTTAGGTTTTGCTGCTGTGTTTCTGCGTAAGAAAATATAAGGCACCCCTTCAATAGAGCTAACACCATATTCGATAAACGTTCATTTTTCCATAAGTCCCGACTTCTTTCACTAGTTCTCGGTCCAACACCATGTTTGACCGTGGAAGGCATGCGACGGATAGAGGGATATATGGGCCAGCGCCAATTCTCTCCAATGGTCAACACTTAACCCTTACAACTGAAGCCATGCGAAAACATACAACGCTACTTTGTGTAGTTGTGCTTTCCATCGCCTCACATCACTTACCAAAGGCAAGGGAGAAAAGATGAAGGTTTTGGAAGCCGAAATAAGCTGTATGTCTATCATTTGACAGGATCCAATGGGAAGTGTGGCTTTTTTAGATTCTTCTGGAGCTTGAGACAAAGATTGTCTCGTCGAGGCGCATATGTATGTACTGAGAAAAGACGTTCACCAATCATGGCGCCTCAAAACGTTATGCATAACCCCTTTGTGTTTTCCTAGAAAAGAAAAACTTGCGAGGGCGAAAGTTGATTGGCGAACCATTCATTCCCCACCCCGTGCAAAGAGACCTGACGAAAGCAGCATGGTTATGACGAGAATGAATCAGAGTGAGAGCACCACATCGTGGCAACCTGTGACGATCCTTTCAGACTGCGCCTGTGCATGCAGTCAGCAGCCGCTGCCCCACTGATTTCGTGGGCTGATGTAGTGCAAGCCACTTCCCGTACCAGACACAAGGCCCATTACTATTCTCCGAACAACAACCGACTGCCAGCTCTCGTTTCCGTGACATACGTGACTTCACGGACGGGTCTCCTATAATGCGCACATCTCAAACAGACCATTTAAATCAGTGCAGTTCGGATGAGGCTGTGACGCCGGCCCCCACAAGAGCCGCAGTCCATCCCGACTACTCCGAGGTCAGTGAAGACTCCTGCAGGCTTACACCAGCTTAAAAACCTGCATCATTTTTATCTTTGCTGTGAGTGCCTTTTTCCCCATTGATTAAGGTCGCCTCAAGTCCATTAGAGGCAGCCTGTTCCACCGATCTCAGATTGATAAAAGCAGTCTCTGGTTGTGGCCCATTGTTGTTGGTGCGATTAGTGTCCTTTGGCCAGAAGAACGTACTGGGACACTACCAAACGTCTTGCACAGCGTGTAACCAGAACACCAGACACACCAATATATTCCGCAGTGTTGTACGTTGCGCCGAATCTATGGACGGTCTTGGTGTCTTCACTTTCGTCGGAGCAGCCCCGATAGGCGATGGGTCTGGCGGAGGTCGGCGTCGCAGCGCCGTATACACTCTACTGCACTGGACGGTCTGCTCGGCACTGCTGCTGCTGGTGGTAACGCTGGTGTGGCAGCAGACGCGAGAGTGCTGCATGGAGCCGGCCAGCCCGACCATAGTTCGGGGGTTGGTGCCGTTTCAGCGGCTAACGCTTTGTTCCGACGCACCGATCGTCGACAGCTTGGCCATCGACCTGTACAGCCTCCTGGCTAAGCGATCGCTCTTAGTAGCAGCCTACTACAATGAAAACACTCTCGAAATTATACTTAGCATGCATAGTGCGCTGAGTGTAGGCCATGACATCCTTCGAGCCGGCATGCATGGCGTCAGGCGACAGCACTTCTACCCACAGAGGAACCTGCTCCGATAGACCCCCATGCGCTGCCTGACATTGGAGCCGAGCGCGGCGCTCTACCGGCGCGGCCGTAGTCCATTAGTCAGGCTGGTATTGGGAGTGCCCACTCTCTTCATCACAGCATCCGACAACGTCATCTACCGGCTGCTCGTGCACGGTCCGGAGGAGCCGAACGGCGGCGACCTGCCCGAGCCGCAGATCGACAAGCCCGCGCCCGCGACGCGGGGCATCGAGCTGAGGCACGGCCGCGTCATTGGCTACCGCGTGACGGCGCGGAGGCTGTGGTTGGTCAGCGTGTGTCGGCGGCCAAGTCGCGACGATCCCGGCTACTCGGAGGCCGGCTGTCTGAAGAAGTGCCTGTGGAATGCCTGTGCCCATTTGACCAAAATGGGAATGTTTATGGCGAACGTGGTCTCTCAACCGTCCTCATACTCTGTGTCATTCGCGCATTGGTATAACGCTACTTTGTGTAATTGTGCTCTCCATCTGCTCACATCACATACCAAAGGTGAGTGAGAAAACATGAAGGTTTTGGAAGCCGAAATAAGCTGTATGCCTATCAATTGACAGGATCCAATGGGAGGTGTGGCTTTTTTTAGATACTTCTGGAGCTTGAAACTTAAAGGTTTTCTGGTCGAGGCTTATATGTATGTACTGAAAAAACGTTCACCGATCATGGCGTTATTATAAAACGTTATGCATAAACCGTTTGTGTTTTCCTAGAAAAGAAAAACTTCCGAGGGCGAAAGTTGATTTGCGAACCATTCATCCCCCCCCCCCCCCCCCCCGGTGCAAAGAGACATGACGAAAGCAGCACGGTTATGACGAGAATGTATCAGAGTGAGAGCACCACATCTTGACAATCTGTGACGATTCTTTCAGACTGCATATGCGTATGCAGTCAGCAGCCACTGACCCCAGTAATTTCGTGGACTCATGTAGCGCAAGCCGCTTTCCGTACCAGACGCAAAACCGATTGCTATTCCCCGAATACCACCCGACTGCGAGCTCTCGTTTCCGTAACATACGTGACTTCACGGACGGGTCTTCTATATTCCGCACATCTCAAACAGACCGTTTAGTTCAGCGCAGTTCGGATGGGGTTGTGGTGCCGGCCCCCACAAGAGCCGCGGTCCATCGCGACTGCTCCGAGGTCAGTGAACACACTTGCAGCCTTGCGCAGCCCTAAAACAGGGCTGCGCACTGCAGGATCGATTTTTGGTTGTTCTGTTTGGTTTGGGCGTTGCATCATGTCTTCGCATGCTTTCACTTGGAAGGATTGAGTGCTGGCCATTGGGGATAAGTGGCGCCGGCACATATATCCTATTACTCGGCGTATGCCTGTCACGGTCAAAATTGGCGGTGTTGCCAGGACAAGACGACTTTGGTGCTTGGGGGAAAATATAGGTGCATTCAATTTGTTCTGAGGTCGAGAGGTGAGGCGCTTTGTTTTTTTCAGTGCAGAAGTCCAGCAGCGAGGCCTGAACAGCTTGAAAAGTCGTGACAGAAGATCATCCGTCACAGCATGATACCAGTTATAGTTTTGACGACAGATGAATTTGCCAAAATGTTATTCATTTGTCATCAATCGTGTTTTGAAGGTTTTACCATATAGTAAACAACAGACAAGGATATTATTGTTTCACAGAATACCATCAACATTGTTTATGGTATTCACGACTAGTTGAGTGTACGAAACGTGGCCCTTTATAGACATTTCTAACGTCCTTCCATGCCGTTCGTTCACACAAATGCAACGATATAGGAATGTGTTTTGTCCCTCTGAACATGATCTTAACCAGGAGCAGCGCGTAGCGAACCGTCCAGTGCAGAAGGATGCGAACATCTCCGCAACCTCTGACCTTGTAAGAGCCGCTGTCCATCCGAACTTCTCTGAGGTCATTGAAGACAGGCTCAACCTCTAGAGCCTCAGCACAGCGCTACTCACTAGTACCGATTAGCGGCTCTTCTTTTTGGGTCATGCGCTGTTCAACGCACTTATTCGGCTGCGAGAATTCAGTGCAAAACATCAGAGGCCTTAGCACTGCCGAGTATGTCACGCCCGGGACAAATTATCGTGGCGGCACTGGAAACCAGAAAAATATATGAAGCTTGAATGAAAAGCAACCTGCAATGATCATGGTGAGAACAATAAACATGTTTTTGTAGCATTTTCAAGAGCTGATTACCTGATATTGAGCACATCCTTTGCTTAAAGTTGGCCACTTTCCGTTAAGAACAGTTTGCTTGCATTCTCGAAGCATCCTGGTTACATGCATGTCATATTTGTAATAACTGGCATGCGATTTTAAATGCGCTAAAGAAAAGACTGTACGTTTTCGAACCGGTTTGCGCGTTAAAATGCAAAAATGTGTTTCGTACATATCTGTGATATTCGTGCGCGTTGGGATGTGCACAAGATGCAGAGGAGCATAAAAAACTTAGCATGAAAGGCTGCGATGATGTTCAACGCATCTCTTCGGGTGCAAGAATTCAGAGCAAAACATAAGGAGCCATTAGCACTGATGAGCTTGTCACGCCGCCAATATGAAAGGTCGTGGTATCTCTTTGAAATTAAGGAAGATATATGGGGGCTGATTGAAAGAGAATCGATCGATTGCTGTGAAAAACGCAAAAAAGGTTAACAATGGTACCAAAGTTCTTTAGCCCACCGCTGACTCTCCTCCTGCTTGACACACATGGCAATGGATAAAACGCTAGGATTGTTAAATGAACAGAAGGGTTCTTTTCCTAACCGAGGGCTTCGATGCTGACCACGGTCAGACATAATTCCTTGCAGACACCGACGGCTTGCTACACTACAGCTGACGTGCCAGCCTTCCAGCAACAGCTTAAAAGCCGGCGTATTTCTGCGGCATTTCTAAGAGACGATGGCATTAATATTGGATGCAGTATTTGACGCACTTCCTAGCCTTTGCTGTTTGGAACAGCTGGCCTGCATTCTTGAAAAACGCTGGTTACATGCATGCAATATTTATGATAATTGGCATGTGTATCAACATGTGAAAAACAAAAAATTGTACATTTTACTTTCGTTTACGCGATAAGATGTGGACATGTACCTCGTGCAGAGCTGTGACCTTTGTGCGCGTGTTAGTATAAGTGTAGAATCTATTCTGCATGATTGATGCGTGCTTGATGCAGAAGACAAACATGTATTAGATCACGGGAACCTGGAATTACAGTTGTTCCACCGACAACGCGCCGATTTAGAAGCATCCGTCCCGGCACGTTTACTGTCTTAACACGCGATCGGGTGGAGGTCAAATTGATCCCATGAAGATTCTTCCAGAACGGTTTTCGGACAGCGCGGCGTGGCCACGCCAGACTTTGCATAGGTGTAGACAATTGAATGTCAGGTCGTTTGACTTTAAAAATTTAGATGTACCCTGTAAGGTCGCTGAACTATGCTCTAACTACTAACCTCCCAGAGCCGGCATAGTATCTGAGGGATCTGAAGAAGCTGACAAAGCTCCTCCGCCGCCATATAAATTACGTCCCCCCTCACCCAATGCCAAGTTTGGTGCCCACTACATCTTTGCCCGCTGATTCGGAAGTCTTAATGTGATGACGTAAGCGAGGAAAAACACTGACGTAGTTACGTAGCGCTTGCAACCACACACCTTAAGTCCCATTCACGCTGGCTGGTGACAGCTCGTGCATAGCTGTCCATAGTTCGAGCAAAGGCGGAGGACGCAAACTTGTACTGGCGGTGGTAGCAGTCAGTGGTGTGAAAGAAAATGGACGGACCACCGACGATGCTCTCTATTAAGACGCTAGCGGTGCGGGGAACGTCGCAGGCGCGTCGCCGGATGAAGGCGGCGGCCCGCTCGGCGACCGGTTTTCGTTCCCTGCTTTTCTCTTGCTCGCCTCACACTTGAGACAGTACGAACGTTCTTACGCCCTGGTTTTGTGCAACGATAAGCCCATATGCCTTGGGGAATTCCTCTCGCTTAAGACTCTAAAATGCCCACCAGGGCGAAGAGGAAGAACCCAGTGACGATACCTAGAGAGCCACCGACATTGGCCACCAGAGTGGTTGCTATAGATGTCATCGTCTCCTGAACCTCAGCAGCGACCAGGTCCAGGGTCACGTACCCCATCGCCTTGCAGGGCTTGGTGTAACTGCTGTTTCTGTGACCAGATGTCTGCAGAATCTCCTGATACTGAAAGTAGCTGACCTCCTTACAGGCTCCGAGACAAGCGCAGCCTTTCACGTCCTGCGAGAGACTTTCGGGAACGCACTGCTCGACCCCCTCCGGCCTCAAAAGCAGCGGTGAGGGCGGTGCTGGCGGTCCTCCTTTTGTCAGTGGTTCCTCTGACCCAGCCGAAGCCCAGCTCACCCCCGCGCCGTTGGGGTCTTTCGACAAAACGTCAGCTGCAATCTCGCTTGGGCGGTGCGGCACTCGTGGACGGCTTCACTTGAAGCTTTGGGGCAGCAGGACTCTGTGATCGTGAACGATATTATCGGAAACACCCGCGAGCTGTGACGCTGTGCCATTTGCGTACAGACCGGCAGGTGGTCTAGCGGGCCTCTCAGTTCGGGCAGGAATGCGCCAGCCGACACCACGTGCGGCAGCCGGCAGCCGGTGCGCCGCCAGCCGTATCCACAGCCATTCCTTTAAACAACGGGCCTCCGTGTAGCCGGGATCGTCCCGACAGGGCCGCCAATGCACGTTGACCAGCTGCCGCGGTAGCCGATGATGCGGCCAGACCTCAGCTCCATGCTTCGCGTCACGGT